CGGCCGGGCGCGGCGCGCTGCTTTCGGGGCCCTCGCGCGGCTCCAGCCAGCGCCCGGCCCGGCCGTCGCTAACGCGCGGCACTTGTGCTGCTCGCGGGGGTCGGGCATCAAAGGGCAGCGCGTAGATCCGCGGGGCCACTTCACCTTTTGTCTGCGGTGCTTAAGCAGAGCCGCGACAATAAAACGATGGGCGCCTCGGCAAGGATTAATTACGCTAGCAAATGGCTTCGGTCAACACCCACCGCCTCACCAAAGGAGCCGGGACTAGTGAAACAAGGCAAAATGTCGGACGACTCATTTGATTCCTTCACATAGGAGAGATGCAGAGATATAGTGAGGTTGCCATATTTGCAATCAAAACAGTAGCCGAAATTTGGGCATTCAACTTAAGCTAGGAAGAAGAAAAAATCAGGGGAGCAGGGCATATGTCTGTGAAGTCAGCGAATTATAAATATGAAAAGGAGTCGCACATGAACTGCTCCAACTATCTGAGTGACTAAACTTACACTGAAAATGAATGGAAAGGGGTTGGGAGAGTCTTGTTTGAAGATCAGAAAGGTAAATTCTTTCTGTAGTGTTTAAGCTTAAATATCAGGACAATTTATTGAAATTAGTAAGCAGCCTTACAGCAACAGCGACTTTCTGAGTGAGATTTGTTTTTGAAACGCTGATGGCTGATGCGATGTGACAGCAGTTAACTTTCTGTATTCGTGATAAAGCCTGGACATTATCAAATGAAATTCCTAAAGGGAGTCTAACCAAGATGGTTTGGTGCTGTATGTCCTGTGGGGTTCCTTAGGGGAAAAAAATATTCATGTTGGAAAGTGCATAGATTACAGGGAAAAAAAATCCTTCCAAAGCAATGTATATAAAGAATCTCAACCCCTTCAGTGTAACACGCTGCCTTTCTTAATACTTACAGAGCTTAAACATAGAAGTGCTGAGATCACATAGCTTAGCTAGTTCATGTTTGCAATTTCAGTGTCCCAATGTACCTTTATAAAATGATGAGGTGGACAGTCATACAACTTACGAAATGTATACTACATTAATGGTTTCATTTTGCAGTACATTTGCATTCTTATAGCAGTACACTTAGAACTCTTCTGAGAACGTTTTCATAGATTTTAATAAGAAAGTACATTGGCTTTCCCAAACAAAGGAGGGAAAAACCTGAAAGGTAACACACGGCCTGTTTAAAGCATTGACAAGGTTTTATGACTACATATAAATGAAAATAATCTATACAGATTCCTGTAGTCTGTCCTGAAAATGATTTTGATAGCCTACTCAAGGAAGAATTTAGTCACTGAGTACTACTTAGCATCTTAGCAATGAAATATCCATTGGTCTTGACAATATTCAACACCCAGACACAACTTTTGTAACAACATAGAGCAGTGGTCTTCAAACTTTTTTGATCGCACACCCCTATCAGTAAAAAATTTTTGAGCACGCACCTCCAATATATGTATATTTATTTATTTATAAATTATAAACACGTGACACATGACTGTCTGACATACGGACCGAGTGAGGGCGCCAGTGTCAATCTGTATATTAAATATTAGTAAAGCCTAATTTCTTTCTTATTTTTTTAGATAAAAAATAAATATAAATAGAAGTTCAAATATTTTCTTCCCGCACCCCAGTGGATTGTCTTGTGCACCCCCAGGGGTGCGCACACCCCACTTTGGAGACCAGTGACATAGAGGACTGGGTACTGTTAAAAGCCATTAATTAATTTATAGTAGATATCAACAGCAACATAAAATATTAGGTAAATCCAGTAAGTGGCAAAGTGGAAATCCAAAAGGGCAACATTTGGAAAATTTGGAAATAATTTAAACAATCTGAGTTGTCAGTGTGCAGGGTCAGCTCTCTAAAAGTCATTCTGCCTCAGCTCTATAAAAGAACCCACACACCTTAACATCTCTCTCTCCCTTCTCCTCCCATATAATACCAATAACAACTTCAGTACACCTTATTTTCTCTGGGTGGATTTTTCTGGGTTTAATGGCCCAGACCATTCAACTGACAGTAGTGGTCATTAATCGTGGGCAGTGTCCTGCACTTTGATGGCTATGGCTTACAGCAATAATAAAAACCATACATTTGGACCAGGGAATCTTAAACATAGGTACACACTATATCGCCATACAATATAGCAGTTTATATTTGCACGGTGTCAAAACAATTACAAATCCTTTAAGCTCCTCTCACGCTTGTTATGTGATGCACAGGGAATGTTCTCCCTACCATGATCTTTAAGCTTCATAATACCTTGAGAGCTAGCATGCTAAGGAGCCATCTCCGTTTTAACATTTCAGTATTAATGTGAGATCATACCACATGAAAATTTAATTTGAAAATTTATCATTTAAACTTTGAAAGGAATGCATTGAAATTTGTGACTTATAGCTCCTTTTTTCAGTTCTGAACAGATAAAAATCCAGCATATTATACGCCAAGGCATGCATTATTACTTAGTTCAGCTTTGCAAAGCCACTAAATCACTTACAGCTTTGTACAAGGAGGCTAGAATAGGGACAAGTAACAAAGGAGATGATGTGTAATATTAAAATAAATCTCACACAAATAAGTTTAAATAGTTTACAAAGACGACCAAATTATGTACAAACGATCTGGAGAATCACTTGTTGTTGTTGAGAATGTGACATAATTTTGAAGCAATGAATGTTATGTGCAATTTGAGATTCATTCTGAATTCCTTCTAGTTTACTAATAGTGTCCAATCAAATCAGTAGCCAAATGGCAAGGAAAAAAAGACAATACAAAATTACATTTGACTAAAAGTAGTAGAGTCAGCTACACCAAAACTTCACACATTGGAAATTAAATACGGATGGGCTTGCTACTGAGATAATTTTACAATGTGCATCTTTTGCGCTGTGTGGAAGTAACATTTTTAATAAGTGAAATATGTCACAATATTTCCCAGAATGAATGGGATTGCTTACCCACTGATAGCATTCATCTTCAGTCTTTCATTAAGATCAGAATACTTTTTCAGAGAGAAATCTACTAGAAGGACCTAAAGCCCATAAGCAGCAAGACCCTTTTTATTTGGTGCTGTGGTTTTTTATTTTGTTTTTGCAATCTGATCCTCCACCTGCTGTAGTCATATATCGGTTTTGGACAAACTCTAGGCCAATAGTGACAGGGCCGTACTGTGGGATCATACCAATGGAAATCAAGATTAGTTCCATTGAAGTTAAAGGTACACCAGTGTAAAGTTGAAGTGGGATTAGAGTTAAGCCTCTGGAATCAAGGTATTTATTTCAAATTATTTTCCCCAGGGGCAAAGCATCTGGCGATGTGAGAGCAGTCTTTTATTACTCAGACCAATTGTTTTACTATGTGGGGGACCTGACCACTATGCTGTGAATCACTTCTGTAAGAGGCAGAAATAATGAGCTTATTGGTAAAATGAAAACTACAGCTTAGAGGCATTTAGGTATGCTTGAACTGGAATTAAGTGTGTGCCAAAACAGGCAGTTTAAATATGACTGAATTCCACTATGCAGGGAACATGACTTTCTTAACCAAACACTGTTATATATTTTATCTAGGTTCGAGCAAGTGCAATTGCTCAGGATGCTGATCAGAACTACGACTATGCCAGTAACAGTGTGGTCCTTCATTTGGAGCCAGGAGATGAAGTTTACATAAAATTAGATGGAGGAAAAGCACATGGAGGAAACAACAACAAATACAGCACGTTTTCTGGATTTATTATTTATGCTGACTGATGATGAGTCAAAAACTAAGCTTGTACTTCTGAGTCCAAGCACTGGATTCATGTGGCAAATGTCAGTCAATCAGGAACCCCAGTGGAGACCGACCATGGGACACCTCAGTAGTGGGGAAAATCAAATGCTACCTGACTCACATCTGTCCAACAGAGTACTCTTATATTAAAAAATTATAAAGCAAGTTAAACAGATGTGTGATCCACTACCGCCAAAGCAAATACTCCTTATTGTTAGTGTCCATGTGAATGAAGTCCTATATAGATCAATTTTTATAGAAAAAAAATCTAAAGACACTGAATTATTTCTTCAGTATATATGATACTTTGATGTGTTATGATCTTGCTGCTTTATCCATACATCAGCTTTGATCCTTGTGACTTACCTGCTAACAATGATGCTTGGAGTCCACTCATAGTGTGGTGAGGAATGATTTTACAATAAAAGGAAGAGGTAATTGAAATATACTTCTTCTCTCCAAAGGAATTGTTTGCCTTGTATTATTGTTATCCTTCTATCTAGAATTAGAAGCCAATTGGTTTCAAGCCTTAACTGAATTTTCCAAGATTTGTGAGTGTACATCAGACTCCTGACACGATGTCAGCCTATTAAAGCAGTTTACATTTCCTCTCCTCCCTTTAGTTGTATTTTAAAAGAGAAAGACAGGCAGACAGATGAAGGGAACAATTCATTAAAAATATAAGAATTGACATAAAATGTCTACTATATTTGGACCAAGTCCTCCTTCCATTGAAGCCAATGGCAAAACTCCCATTGATTTTAGTGAGAACAGGATTTGGCTCTCAATAGGTAAACATGTGTAAATATATATTTAGACAATTCTACAAACCCATTCTTGATGGTTTGTTGTGTAAATATTTATTTAGCAAGTCTAACATCCACATTTGCTGGCCAGGCTGGAATAATTTCTGTGCAGCAATTAATCTTTAGTGTAAATCTGTAGTTAGGTATTATTTTTAACAAAAAGATTATTTATGGCTCAACATACTGCAGAAGCACACTGGGAGTCATTATGTAGGACATTGTGGGGATATCATGGACCAAAATCCTGCTCAACTCACTCACTTATGCAACAGGCTTCCTTGAATTCTGTGGAGGTACTCGCACAAAAGAGCAGCATGTGATTTGACTCCATGTTACCATGCTGTCATGTAGCTCATTTTAAAAATGTATTTTATTAGTTTGTCATGAGGTGTGACTATGAAATTAACACAAGAAGCATATTACCAAATATAAAAACCACTTATGCAAGGAAGCAGATTTTCAAATGCAAAAAAGGTGTGTATAAAATATTATTTTTCTTAAATATATATCTACATAGAAGTATATATCTATATATGTATGTGCTAAAGTAGCTTAATCCACAAGATGAATTAGTGGACTGGAGAATTAAATTGTTCAACACATGGTTTTAAGTTATAATTATAAAAAAACTCTTTCAAATCAGTAATAGCTGTAATGCTGTCTTGACAGAGGATATTTGTTCTAAACCATGTATAAGGCATTTATTTTCTTAACTGCTCCCGTATTGGTGCTACCAAGTATTAATCTCATGTAAAATTACAGCTGGAATATGCAACTTAACAGATAATGTTTGAGAGAGAAAAATAATTAATTAGCTTCCTACTGCAGCTGATGCAGTATATAACTTAGATAACATTCATGGTAAAATTATGGTACTATTTGTACAAATTGAGGGAATAATAGAGGCCAGAACTTTTCATTTTTCCATAATCTCCACAGGAAGCCTTTTCTAATCTACAAAGTAAAAAATGTGCACACATAGATATTTATCATACACTAACATGTCAAAAATCTGTCATACTTTTTACCATGAATTACTTGGTAAGATTAGACAAATTTTAAAGATGAAAAATTGCTCTAGAAATGAGTTTAATGTTTACATGAGTAAGGCTTAACTAGACTATGCTATTCTTCCGGTCTCTTGCTCTTTTGAGCAGGCATTCAATTAAAAAAACATGACCAAATAGTCTGTGCTCAATAAAAGAATCTTGAATCCAGCACATCTGTATTTTCATAAGGGAAGATAATGCTTCAAAACTGCCTTTTTATTTTGTCATCACATCATTTTGATTAAACATTGCTAGTATCCCTATGACATAACACCAACTCATCACATACATAAAATGCAGTGATTACTTCTCTTTGGCTTTTCCACTACGCAATGCATTTTATAATGGACATAATTGACTTCACATCTGCTCATTTCACAGGTCTTTTGTTTGGTAATTACGCTCACTACAGAGTGGTTGGCAGCAAGGCTTTGCTACTTCTTATGTAGATATCAAACAGCAGTGTATCTAGTAAAAAATCATTTATACTTAGTACTACTCTTTCACCAAGGTGTTAACAGAAAGACTTTACCACCACAGGACACCTAAAGATGGATAAATTAGAAAAAGCAAGATCTTGAAATCAGATTGCCATTGCTAACAGACATGACCTTTTCTTTGGAGAAATAAGTATCCCCTGTTTAGGTCTAGAGGAAAGAACAAAAACTTAACTGAAAAAAATCATGTAAGGGAAACATTTCATGTTTTGATTCATATCTTGACAAACTGATTTGTAAACTGATTGTCTCATGGCCTTTGTTATAACCACAACTCCTCATTAAATTGTGTTATGTAATATATTTTGACTTTTGGTATTGCATCTTTACAAAAGGAAACTGGTTTGCATGGTATTTCACATGGTCATATGCAAGTTTCCAAAAGCTCAAAAGTGATTTATTGCAATTAAAACACATTCTAAAACAAAAAACAGCAACTGTTAAACTCGTCTACAAACTGCTTTATTCAAAAATATTCTTCACATTTTCATTTAAAAATAATCTCTTTGAATTGTTAATTAAGGAAGATAAAGTACTTTTTTAAAAACATTAAAATCTTCCTTTTTGTAATCCTCCATTTTTGTAGAAGCTAGTTTAAAATGCCATATTCTTTATCAAGCATTAATTAAAGAACAACAGGATAATTAGCATGATCATCAATATTACAAGGAACATCATATCACTCTAGAGGGGGGCAATTAACTTGAAACACTTTAAATTTCGTCAAGTAGTACAGCTGATGTATTTTCAAAGAACATAAAATCCTGAATAATGTGTGATGACAGTATGAAATTTGCTCAGTGGAACACATTATTCCAATATTTGTTTGCAAAAATTCTGTAGTTGTGCTCAAGACCAATAACTCATTCAGGACCAGATTATTAGAAGGGCATTTAAGGCAAAGGCAATTACCACTTTGTGTTCTAATTTAAAAAAAAGAGGTGATGATCAGTGCTGTGGGTGGCTTATTAAGTTTTCCCCAGTGCCCCTATATGTGAAATGACCCTCTATTAAATGTAATCTGATTTTTTTAAAGCAAGATGTGAATATTTAACATCTACTTTTATTTAAAGGTCAACCACTGTTTTGGGTTCTCCACCAATATTTTATCAATTCTATTTTGGGAGATGCCTCTAATTAGCATTTTTGGAACTATATTTTTAAGGATATGTGAATATCCATGACCTCCATAGTTCATCAATCTGTTCTTAGTGTGTATATCATGAGCCATTAGAATTCTGTCTTCATAGCCTTCGTGAATCAACATCCGAATCCTGCAAAGATACAAAGCATACTTCCTTGTCAGTAAAGGGTTTACAGACTTCTGGTAGTAATACAGAAATAAACATTATTTAAACTTTTTACATGGCTATATCTCTACACTCTCATGTCAAAAAAATGAAGGATTGTTGGATATTTAAAAGACACAAAAATATAAATTAGATCTTAAACATAAGTTAAATCAAAACATATGGGGCGCATTTTGAAAAGAAAATCCTTGAAAGCAGGTTAATGTCACACCTCTAAAAGAGCTGGTAAGGAAAAGCAGTCTCATCAAGATTTCCTACACTTCCTTAGGCTTGTGTTTTGTTTAGAGTCTTCTGCAAAATTAATTTATTTTAACATCTACAATTTGTAACCATAGGATTAAATAATTTCCTATATGCATGACCCTTTATAAGATCAGTTAGTCTGGTTAACTCTGCCTGCTGACCATAGCCAAATTTTTTGCACATCTTCATGTGAGCAGAGCAATCATTTACCTTAATTTCATTTCAATCTATTTGTATGGGGTCTTTTTTTTTCTAATAAAACATGTAAAGCTTCAGTTTAAGCAGCAAACATCTTAGAGGATTTTCACTTAATTATGAACAGCTGTTCTCATTACTATTGGTCCACTATTCTGCAGCAATTGAAGGAATAGTAGCAATTCTTTGGAGCCCGGGCTTGTTCCTTAGTTCATATAAATGGCTGCAGCTGTACTGAAGTCAGGCAAGTTGATATAGAAGTCTGATGCAGGTTGTTGAATGTCTTTTTTTTATATAGTTTTTGGTGGCTTTCTATTTGGAATAACAGGAGAAATTTCAAGTATTCAAGAGTTACCATTTTCCATTAACAACATCACTCAGGTAATATCTGATCCTCAGAGAAGTTTATTTATGGAGAATGTCAGCGAGATGGATAGAGTAATAGGTGCTTTCTTTGATTTTTAGAGTGTTCAAAACCAGTAATATCAGCAAATATTTAGCACGTGGAGAGAGGGAAGCCAAGTTGAGAGAGAAATCTTTGTGACGTACTGCCTTGCCTGATTGATGTATCTGCAAAGATAATCTCTCTAGTAGTGTAGCTGTAATGCCACAGACCTGCTTCCAGCTGGCAGAACCACATTTGTCTTACTGGTTTTGGAAGCTTTAATGTTCGCAAAGTATCGTGGAGGAAAAAGCAGGGCTAGTTCCTAGTTGAACAAAGGTAAAAATCTTGTGCATTTCCATAATTAAAATCTTACTATACTTAGAAACTGTTCAACATGTTTCTCCATTGTGTCTTACCTGTCAGCTTATTGCTCAGGTGTGGATCTTCCTGCAAGTGTTAGCTCTGTTGCTAGTAAGAAGTGACAGTGGCTTAGATCTTCAAAGGTATTTAGATGACTAATTCCACTACAGGGGCATAAAGGACATCTGCAAAACTATTTGTCAGTTGTTGCTTATCTCTGTAGGACCTATGGTTTCTGTGCTTTGATTCAAGAGAAAGCAAGTATTGGTCTGATAAGTAACTCTGTGTTTTATATGCAATGATAAAAATAGAAAAGCTTTTTCTCTTAGCTTTTGGAAAGGAGGCAGCTTTTATGTTCCCATCTCACATCCAAGTAATTAATCACAGCAAATATAGCTACCTTTCTGCCAGTCAACTCAATCCTCATATAATGGATCCTCATGCAATGGATTTTGCAATAATCCTCCAAGCACAAGA